ATTTACAAATATTTCGATACTAAGAAGTAATTGCACCATAGTAGGTCAAAGTACTTTACTTGCTGATTTTCCTCACCTAAAATAATCGACGGTAATTCAAGAGACTTGCTTTTCTTAAAAACCAATGAAGAAAGTGTAGCTGAGCTCACCTGTCCACGAGGAATGTCCTTCCTATTACACTTTGCGCATTCGATTAGCACCGCAGGGCACTGGGTTTCATGATGTTCCTGTCGTGAGAATAGTAGAAAGAATCCATTGGACAAAATTACGAAAGCAGCACACGTATTACGTACCACCTTATGCTTCTGTTATGATGTTCAGCCACATCGAAACTTGTGAGAGCTTGGAAAGAAGATCATTGTTTAATTTGAGCACCTCGAGCCTTTAAACTTTTGACACAAATCTTGTCGGAGATGGTAAGGAGGGCTTCCAGCTTGCGAAATTGTTCGCGCAGAGATTTTCGATTGGCGCAGGTGTCAGCCACTATTCAAGTATTTTGAACATCGAGATGTCTAGTTATTCAAAGGGAAACGAAAATAATTCATGCGAGACAGAAAAAAGGTGATTATCGTCGTTTTTGTTGTCAGGTGAACTTAAGCTTGGTCCTTTTCAGTCAGGGGAAATACTTTTAAATGACAGTGCATTTTCAGAGACGTTACAGTGACTGCTTAAATATCAGAGCGATTCGTCGTACTGACGCACTAACTAAGGATATCTTTATCGAAAAATGTCCGTTGGAGTTGTGCACGTTGGTAGGTTGTTTAATTATTTAGTTATCCCTGTACATACCTATATAGCTGCAAAAATGACTTGAGTATGGAAGTACTCACATGTGTCCAACCTATACTGGCACCTCTGTTCCAGATGGTCTGCTAATTGGGCTCTAGTCACCAGTTCGCCACAGTCGGAGTGAACACAAGGTAGTTTCAGATACTCACAAACAGCTTCATGGGCCTGTAGAAAGGAAGCCAAATTAACAATTACGTTAAAACGATAAGCAGTAGATTTCATAGTCATCGACGTCGAAGCTCACGAGGTTTTGTCAGCATTGATACCTGACAATAAGGGTTGCAGAGGAAAAAGGCTTATTAGAATTCGAAGTAATCGCATCTTAGTCGGTAGTAGAGCTCATTTCGACTGAGTTTCGCCATATCAAAGTAATCACATTGGCTAATCAGGACAAAGGAGGATACCACAAAGAGCTAATAAGAACACCAACTGAAAACAAGCCAACCACCTGCAGTGCGGGAAAACGCAGACGACAAAGTCAAGAGGGTGATCAAGTATTCCTTGAGAGACTCAAATGAAAATAACCAATAAAGTAATAAGATCTACCTCTCGTTTTCTCAGTTCATCCTTCCATTTACAACCGTGCTCATGGTTGACGCAGTGTAGCGTCAATGACTGGATTTCTCGCTCAACAAATCGGTCTTGGAAAACCTAGGATGCAGAAACAGATAAAAAAAAAAAGATATTGAAGACACAGTATCAATCACAAAAAAATAAAAAATATGAAATAAGCGAGCAGTATCGATCCGATCTGCCTCAAGGCCTCGTTTACGCAGGTAATTTGAGTGCTCTTTCTCTGGTGCCTTAATTCATAATGTTTCAGTACTTATTATTTTCTTAAAAATGGACATGTGATTTTCCAAATCGTTCTTGTAAAGCTACTGGCAGTTTGTGGTTCGGTCTCGTTAAATGGAGAAGCAGGCGATCGTCTCGTTTCATGAAGTCGTTTTCCGCCGTTTGCTCTGAGAGCCTGACACAGGTCAGCTAATTAATGGCTAATAATTTGATACCCCATTACTGATTTGGTAGGACAAGTTAAATACTAACGATTTTCGGGATTTATAAGGGCAACTGACCTGTTCTCGCTGAATGAGTGTCCCATCTATGACACATTTTCCTGGTACCTGACTGAAGATTCAAGAGAATACAAAACAGGGCTTACACAAATTCATAGAAATGTAGCTTGAACCACTTTCCTTAAAAAAAAATATTGGATAATATAACTCTGTCTTGATGGGAAACAGATACAGACAAAAGTTTCAGCATGCATCTAGACTTGAAAGTATTAAGATACATACTGAGCTGAGATAATACTGCTAAAACAAACAAACCGGCAAACAAACAAACAAACAAAACTGAAAGCTTCTAACTGCATGATTGACTCTCGTACATGCTTGTCATAAACCAGAGACTTAAAACAACAGATTTCATTAGTTAATGACTTCTGATGACCTTGTTCTCAATACACTTAGTGCCATAAATCTCTTTCAGTCTGTTTTAATTACATATGGTTGGCATGACTATCAACGTAATTTAGAATTAGTATTCAGTAATCGCAATAATTTCATGTACAATAAAAACTTAGTTCGGCCAAATTCACCTAACCTACCTTAGTATGTCTTGCACACATGCTTTACAATATCTGTGGCCGCAGGCTATGGTCTGTACTGCTTCTTTGAGGAGCTCGTCACATTTAGGACATACGTTCTTTTTGTCGATCCCAGATCGGTCAATTGTCGTTAAGTAGTATCCAGGCATAGCAAATGATTCTTGAATCGTAAACAATCAATATCTATAGGAAAATTATCAGTCAGAATCATAGACTAGTTTCAATTCAGTTACCTTAGAGTACCATGCAACACTCTTACACACAAAGCAAAAACTTGAGAAAAAAAAAACCCTGATGTTCTAGGCCTATTTGTTTGACCGAAATTCTCTTCCCTTGTTATTTACGGAGTGAAGAAAAGTTTTTTGGTGGCCTCGTTTTTACATAGTATTCTTGCGATAGACGTTCGTTTAACTTAGAAAGAGTGCAAATCTGTCCCGAACACTTCATCGGTTCCGATTTATCTTCGAGACCATTTTGAATGCGGACGCAGTGGTAGTTCGAAGTTCAGGGAATCCCCCAAACGTTGTTGAACGCTATCATCATGTAACTCGCAGTTAAGTTCTTAGAGTCAGCTAGAAAGATCTCAAACTTTTCTAACTTCTTCTCTTGACCGTTCTACAACTTATCAACTTATCGTGACGGCAGAGTACAAAAAAAAAAAAAACATACATGTGTATGCATCAACTGATTTTTACTTTCGAACACACAAATTGAGACATATAAGCATTAGCCATCAATATACCGGAACTTCAGCTGTATGGTTGTTACGAATAAAGTTTACTCGAAATGCGTTGAGTTATAAATTTCGACGGCGAAGTAATCGCAGATTACTGCGAAAGTCTAAAAAATATGGCTTCCACTGTATTTCACTTACATGTGCTTGCACTTGATTTCTGTCTTTACACTTGTGCGTAAAGGGGCTGACACTGCGCAAATGATGAATCTTAGGGATGACTCACAGAAAAATATGAATCGCCCACATTATTTTTCACCATTTGGCCAATCGAGCGAACTACAGTGTCAAAACTAACAACTGTAGGCGATAAATTGTTCTGCTTCCAGATCTGCTGCACCTTTCCAAGTTATCATATTGCTTGGCATCTAAGTTTTTCCTTACCCTGCACCAAGCAATCGGGGAACATAGTAGTGACTCTTTCCGATTTTTACAGAAACATATGACCTTTACTACAACGGCCATCTTAGAAGATTTGGAGAGAGTACTGCTGCTGCGTGACGCGTGACAACATGACGTGGCAAATTTCTATGCAATGATGAAAGGCGGTATTTTTGGCAATTTTAATTAACGAATCATAGTGCATGTGACTGAGTCGAAGAACTCCTCGATTTCGATTTTGCTTGATTTAAACCAGCCAAAATGATAATAAAATTTCCCAGTGAGATTTTTTTTGAGCCCAATTATCTCTCAAAGGCGTCCCTTTAAATATCCAAGTTATCAAGTTCGAATCTCGATGGAAAAAACTCCACCGGGTTTCAAATACGAATCAGTGATTCGTGAATGATTCGGTCTGATGATTCTCCTGATTCCCCTAACTTTAACTGTCACGCGACCGCTTATGCGGGTATCAGCGGCCATCCCGAGGGGTCGACCCCCGGGCACCCAGGGGCATTTGTCACAGCTGCCGTGACAAATACATGCTAAAGCCCCTCGGGTAGGGCAAAAAATTGGGACAAATACCCCCACCCCTGGAGCAACCTGGGCAACATATAGTCGGTGTTGCCTGTTCCTCGATGCAAAAGTACGAGTGATCATGGTTTACTGAAGCCACATCAGCACTAAAATCCACACAAGTCTCTATGGAGTCCTCAAATTCGAGCTTTCTGGGGCAAACTTTCTTGGCTTGCGGTTGTTCATCACACTGTCTCTTCCTATCGGTAAGACGCTTCGAATGCGAACTAACCGTATGAAATTGAAATCTCGATGTCGCTTTCCTTAAAATGCAATGAACAGATTATTGGATCGCCGAGTGTCTTGAATTTTTAATCCGCTCGCTTACAGAAAACCTCCCACTTCTTACGCTCATTGGGCCTTGTAGGAAAGAAAAAATAACTGAGATCAGGTCGTTTCTTACTCCCATTTACCTCGAGGGCTAGAAGAACATCGAGCGAGCGAGCTTGCTTGTCCTGTGGCGAAAACCGCTGAACGTTGAGACAGCAGATTACGTGCAAATCCCGTGGGTATGGCCCCGGGGTATTTTGCCAAACACGCAAAAGCGCTCTAATGCCCCGCGTGCGGGGCATGCCTTTGCTACAAATCCCCTGCTAAGCCCGTGGGTTGCCCTTGGGTTGCCCGGGGGTCGACCCCTCGGGATGGCCGCTGATACCTGCATTATGCCCACGCCGTTTGCAGTTTGAAGTGCTAATCGAACATTGAAAAGTTGATTCCATTCTTCAGCTTCGCTCTACTGATGTTGTCTACTGTCGACTTCTTTTACAATCGTAAAAATACCGTTTAAGGGAAGGTGAGGGTTCGCAAAAGAATCGATTTAATCCTATCGTATTTATGGTTTGCGGAGTAACTGGAGTTCACTCGTAAAGGAGTGAAAAAATGGGT